AGGGCCCAGGTGCCATTTTGTGCACGGAAAGCTGAGCTCTGGGGTGCTATGGGACAAATTAGGGGGCTCTTGGCTCTGTTTGGCCACAGGAGCTGTGACACTGGGAGAGGGGAGGTCTGGGTGCTGGGAAGGGAGCTGACCCCATGGCAGCCCCCCAAGGAGCCCCCCAGACACCCCAGGGCCTGGCAGCCACCGCTGTCACAAGCTGGGGCAGGTCTCAGCGTCCTCCCATTTACACTTCAAACAGGGGCAGCCCCAGGGCAGGGCACGCCAGCAAGGGCAGGCTGGGGCTTGGCCACCCCGGGTGGCTCAGGGGAGGCAGTGACAGAAAGGCAGCCGCAGGTCCCTTCCCAGGACCCTCCTCAGCACTGGAGCACCCAGGGGAGACGGGGTCCGGGCCGGGTGCCCCCCCTAAAGCCATGCCACCCTTTACAAGCGAGAGGGCAACAGGAGGACACAGTAGCACCTGCAGGCGCTGCGCATTTTTACTCCTGCTTTATTTACCCCTTTGTACAAAACCGTTTTTCCCCACTTTATTTTACAAAGCCAGCCCCTGCCTTTGGGGAAGGCGGGGGGAGAGAGGGGACCCCACAACCAGGGAGCACCTGGCCGCTCACCCACCCCACAGGCACCCCGTCTCACCTCTGCCGGGGCCTTGGGGTGGGCAGCAGCAGTGGGGAGAGCCCCGGGAAGGTGAACGCTCCCCCTGAGCCGTGGGGAGCCCAGGGACGGGGTGGGGGGGCTTTAGCCCCACAGTCATGGTCTGGCATCAAATCCCGCTGCCTCTGGCACACCCTGCCTGCAGCTCCCAACGTCGGTCCCTGTCCTGCGACGGTTACTGCCACGGAGGAATAATAAATAGGCTCAGTGAGTAGGTAAATTCGGTACTACATATAGGGCTACAGCTCGATATATCCTCACTAGATAAAGAGGAGGGGGTCGAGGGGTCCCCCCGGCTCCTTGTGTACCCCCAGTCCCCCTGCGCCAGGCACGACCACTCAGAGTCTGGGTCTGCCCGGCCAGCGCAGGGCAGGGTGGGGGCCACGGGAGGGACCCTGGGGCGGCGGGTCGAGGGGCTCTTGCACAGGGAGAAGGGCCTGAGGGGCAGCTCAGCCCCCCCCCAGCCACAGGGAAGGAGCTCGGGTGGCTCAGCCACCCCCTGCCAGGGCTCCCACCACTGGTGGTGCCAGCACCCTGCCGGGGTGGGCACCCAGCACAGGCCCAAGGTGTCCCCTTTGGTCACCACACCTGGCCGAGCTCCTGCAGATGCCCCCCAGCTCCGAGCCCGCCCCGAGCGGGCATCCCTGCACACAGGGACCACGGTGTCCCCAGGGAGCCACGCCAGACAGCCCGTCCCCATCCCTCCAGCCCAGAGCCCCCAGCGCCAGGCGCCGCGGGTCCCTGCACACCCCTCATCAGTGTCCTTGAGCCCAGGTCCGTGCGCAGCCCAGCTGAGCCCGGCTGCCCGGGGTGCGGACCCAGCACCGCGCCAGCCCTACAAGTATGTGTCCTCGCTCTCCCGGGAGCTCAGGCTCTCCTTGGACTGGTGGTGGGGGGAGACCTGGGGGTGCAGCAGCTCCCGGGCCGAGCTGGGCGCCCCATTGCCCTCCGCCCCGGGGCCATTGGCAGGGCTGGCCAGGCCCTTTTCTCTGCTCTTCTCCTTGCTCTTGCGGGCCTTGGGCACGGGGGCAGGCCCAGGGGGGACGATGATGGAGGGGACGGGCTCCAGTGCCTTGCGGGTGGGGGGCTCGGCCTCGCTGATGGCCTTGGCACCGTGCAGGCGCGGGGGGGACTTGCACTGCAGCTCCCCGTGCGTCTCCCGCCACTTCTTCAGCTGGATCAGGTGCTCCCGCTCGATCTGACGCTCCGTCACCGGCAGCTCGATGACCTGCGGGGGACAGACTCATGCTATCAGCATCTCCCCCGACAGTGACAGTGCCACCCGGGGCCAGCTCGGCACCCCAGCCACTTGGGCAGGGTGCGGGGTAACCCCCAGGGCAGAAGCAACCCCAAATCCAAGCCTTTTAGGGACTGCCCCCCTGCCACGCCAGCACTGCCCACCCAGGGGCAGCCCAGTCCGGCAGTGTGGCCAACTGGGCAGCACTGGGCCCCCAGACTCTTCCCAGCACCTCACCTCCTGCACCAGGAAGGTCTCCTGCATGATCTTGGGGCTGAGGGCCCTCAGCCTCTCCATGGTCTCGTACTGGCCCTGGCAGGACTTGAGCTTGTCCGAGGAGCCCAGGGTGTGTTTGAGCAGCACGAGGCCCACGCGGAAGATGATCTTCACCCCTGCAAGGGGAGAGGTGAGGCCACGAGTGCCAGGCAGGACAGGGTGACACTGCCACTATGTCCCTCAGATGCTGTGGGGCACTAGGTCCCAGTCCCGCAAGCAGTCAGGACATGCAAGAGGGTGGATTTGGGATGCACATTCCCCCTAACCCCCAGGGAAACAGCTGTCTCTCCACCCAGGGCACGGGGCTGCCCCAAACCTGCCCTACAACAGGTCTCATGCGCCCGGCACAGGTAAGCAGCTGCAGCAGTACTCCAGCTGCAGCCCTGAGTGCCGTCCACATACCACAGGGGCTGCAGCCAGTCACCCCAGGAGGAAGAGGAGGATGGTGGGGAGCTTCTACCTTCACAGAAGAACATGTCCCAGACACGCAGGACGGAGCTCCAGGGCAGCGTGCGGGAGAAGGCGCACATGAACCACTCCGTCATGTAGAGGATGGGGTCAATCTTCTGCTTGCTCAGGTGCTTGTAGGCCACGGGTGAGACCTTGTGCAGCAGCGAGAAGAGGATCTGCCCATCCAGCTGAATGGCCTCCTGCAGGGAGAGCATCGAGAGCCCCAGGGAACACCTTAACCCCGGCCCAGCCCTGGAATCAGCTCCCCATTGCCCGGCCCCAGCCCACCAGCCCCAGAGGAGGAGCAGCCCACCCTCCAGACCTGGCTACGGGAGCAGAGCCGTGCCCCACAGATGCCAGCAGCAAAGCTACGCTGAGCCCCCCACCCCTGACTGCGGGATGCTCCTGGGGGACCATGGCACAACAGAGACCGTGGCAGCACCCAGCATCTCCCCACGCTCCTTTCTTTCTCCAGAGGAGCTGGGGGAACTTTTGGTCTGGAGACATCACAGGTCCCTGCCACCGCTGAAGACACTGTGGCCCTTCACTCACCAGCTTCTCGCTGTAGTAGCCGGGGAGGTACTTCTCACAGATCTGCACCAGGCACCAGAATGCTTGCTGCAAGCCAAGGGACAGCGGGTGAGCACCCAGGTGTCCCCAGGGGACGTCCCTGCAGCCCCCACGCTGCTCCCAGGGACCAAGGCAGCAGGCAGGAGGAGGCATGCACACCTGGGGTGAAGGGCACCTCCCTGCCCCAGCCGAGCTTTGGGGTAAATGGGTGCCATGAGCCGAGCACCCTGCCTGCCAGCACCACCCCAAAGCGACCCACACCCTCCCGCTGGTCCCAGCTCTCCAGCCGCTGGGTCTCCCTCCCCTCCTGGCTGCACGTTCGCACCTCAGCCGGCATGTGCATGAGCAGGACAGCGGCGATGGGGGCCTGGGCCTGGCAGTAGCCCTCCTCCGGGCGGTACAGCGTGTATGCCTTCAGCACCCGAAACAGGTCCTGCTGCCTGCAGAGACATCCCGGGCAGGGAGAGGTGGAGAGAGGGCACGGACACAGCCCAGCAGCCTCCCCCACAGACCAAATGTGGCCTTGCACGGTGATCCTGTACTGCAGGCCAGCCACTTGCCACCACTCTTCCCCCACGAGCCTGAGTCAGTCCCTGGCTGGGACCCTTCTTCCACACAAACCCAGGGCTATGGGACACAATAACCACGGCTCTGCTCCAGGAATCTCTGCCCATGGAGGCCCCATCCTGCCTGGATCTGAGAGACGAGACAAGGAACCAACCATCTCCCAGGGATGCTGGCTCAGGGTGAGCTGTGGCCGGGCAGGGACCCAGCTGCAAGCACGGCAGTGCAGACGCTCCCTGATGTGGGGAGAGGCATTTCCCTGGTGAAATGGAGGCCACAGCCGGTTGCCTTCTCCCTCCGCCCTCCTGCTGTGGCAATTCCCACCCCACCGGGTGTCAGAGCTGGTACCAAGGTCTGTGACCCGCACACCGAGCTCCTGCAAAGCCCTCCTATTTTCAGCTGGTGCCTGGATGCCCTGCAAGCTGGTGGGGTGTAAGGACCGTGGGGGACACCGCAGGGGACACCACGGGGGATGAGTGTGGTTCTCTGAGCTGGGATTGACAGTGCCAATCCCACGGTGCTGGTCCAGCCCGGTGGCTGCCAAGGACTGGACACGCAGCAGCTCCACTTACCCGTGGCCTCCACGCGAGACGAACATCTCGTGGAAGGGGAACTGCCGATGGAGATCCCGCTCGATCACATCCAGCCACTTCGGGTCCCCTGGGAGGAGATCCAGTTCCTGGGGAGGAGAGGGTTGGGGTGAGCAACACCCCACAGCGGCACGGTGCCAGCCCCACTCTGACACCTGGGGCCCACAGTGAGCCCAAGGCAGCTGGCGGAGCAGCCACAGCACTGGACCTGGCTCTGCCCAAACACAAGCCCCACCAGGTTGTGGGTCAGCCCACGCTGGCTGGGACGCTAGCCCCCTTGAACCCCACACAGCGGGAAGAAGCCTAACAGACACCCCAGCCCTGGAGGGAGCAGGAGCCATCCCGGCACTGCCTCCCTCCAGCAGCACCCGTCCCTGGTGGTGCAGGAAGGTCCCCAACTGCACTCACGTCAAACTTGCCGATGTTCTGCTCAAGCTTGACCTTGCTCCCGGAGAGGTACTGCCAGGCTCGGCCCCGCAGCGAGGGTGGGATCCCCTTCTGGCACCGCAGTCGGATCTGTGGGGGGAGCAACACAGCCGCCATGCAGGGAATGGCAAAGCAGCAGGGAGCAAAGAGGTCCCAGGGGCAATATGGGAGCCAGGCCCGGCACCGCGGTCGCAAGCTGGTCCCCTGCTGCCTCCCTGTACAAGGGGCTGTGTCCCTGCACCCCTGGGGACAGGGTGCCCAGCTGCATGTCCCATGATGGACCCTGAGGATCTCAGGAGGGGTCTGCTCACCCCCTTCTCCCCAGCATTGCTCTTAACGTGCCAGCCAGAGCTACACCGGCAGGAGGGAGCTGCGGACGGGTGCCAGGAGCCCGGCTGAGGCTCTGTGGCTTGCAAACAGCTCCACACAAGCCCAGCTCTGCCTCAAAGCAGGATCCTGCTGGGAGCTGGAAAAGCAAACACTGGAGCCAAGGTGGGGAGCGGGTGGCTCCCTCCCCACCCCAGCACGGCCCACGGGAAGCACCAGGGATGCAGGGGAGGGCTCCTCGGCCCCCAGCCCAGCCCTTCTGCTCACCCACAGGGCCATGGAGAGCAGGGAGGTGCACCCTGAGCATCTCAACCTTCCCGCCCACTCATCCTGGACACAAGGGCAGGCCTGGCCCCAGCTCCGCACACGGCCGGCTCCCGAGGCCCCCAGGACTGGCTCCATGCCCACAGTCAGCCCCCAGTTTCCTTGGCACAAGGCACTGGCCAGGACCAAAGTCCAGGTGAGGCAGTGCCTGTACCTACCCTGCAGCAAGGAGCCAAGCTGGCTTAACCCTGCCACTGCCAGCACCCCAGCAGGGACCAAAACCAGAGACCTGACATGTCCCGCTCCAGCTCCTGCTCCCGGGCAGGTCCCAAGCGCTGCGGGGCCTTTGTGCGCGCAGGAAACGCGGTGGGCAATGCCCAGGGCAGCCGTGGGCAGCTCCGTTGCTGCTGATGGCTCCCTTTTCAAGCTGGCTCCCCTTCCTGCTGGCTAAGCTGCCAGGAAGGAAGCCGCCTTGCTGGGTTTCAGTTCAGCAGCCCCTCCAGCTGGCCAGGCTCAGTGCGGCCGGGGCCAAGCAGCTGAGCATCTCGTCCCCTCGGCTCCGTACAGGGTCCTGCCATCGCCCCATCCAGCTCGCAGGATCCCACTGTGCTCTTTCCAAGGACTGGGAGCATGTCTGGGCTGAGGGATACTGAAAGCAAAGAGCAGCCGGAGCGCTGCCCACGCCGGGAGAGCGGTGGGAGCCGCCCACGCGTCTGCCGTCCTTCGGTCTGGCTGGAAAGGGCAAGGATCGGCACGCGGCGCTGGCACAGCTCAGTGCCACGAAGGACACGGCGCCGTGGTTCTTCTGGGATCCGGGCCAGGTGGGCGAAGGACGAAGCATTTTGGGATCCTGGAGCGGTGCAGGTGTGAGTGAGCCCAGCAGGAGCTGGCCCAAGAGATGCCCGGGCTGTCAGCCAACCCCGGTGAAGCAGCCAGAAAAGCACCGGGGTTTTTCAGAGGCACAGGGAGCTCCTCCGAAGCAGCAGAGCCTCAGCCACGCTGCATGGCCCCGTACCAAAGCAGCCAGGCTCCTGCCAGAGCAGGGACGGTCAACAGCAACCGAGGCCAGGCCTGGCACCCTTCCCTGAGCAGCCCCAGGGTGCCTGGTACAGAGCAGCTCTCTCACAGCAGACTTCAGAGGCTCTGGGTATGGATTTTTGCTGCAGGACAGGCTATACACCACATCAGCCCCACGGAGACCCCAAGAGCTCAGCCCAAGCGTGAGAGAGCTCCTCTGCCAGATGTACGGCTGCCGGAGCATTCACCCGAGCCTGGAGGCCATGCTGCAGCATGGCCGGAGAGCAGCGGAAACCGCCTGCAGAACAAAGCGCCCGCCTGCCATGTGCTGAAAAGCTCTCCCAAATCCTGTGTGAGCGGCCAAGAAACAGATGAGGGATTCCTGCGTCGTCCACCAGGCACCGAGCAGGGAGGGTGCTCCGGGAGCACAGCGCGCGGAGTGGTGCCAGGAGGCTCTGCCACTGCGGGGGAGGAGGAGGCCCTTCGGCCGCTCTCAGGCACTGCTGGCCCATGCTAGCAGCCTCACCGCTTCCAGCGGACACACAGCAGCGACCCGGGACTTGCTGCATCCCATCTCTGCCTCGTTTGCAGGCTCAGGAGGTCAGGGAGCACCAACGGACCAAGCCACGGAGCCATCCAGCATACACCACCATGAGTCTCTTGGGGACCCCAGCTTGCAAACCAGCGTCACACACATCAGGCTCAAACATTTCCTACCCGGAGCTTTTTTTGGTCTACAAGATGCTCAGACCAGAAGTTTCCATGACTGAACAATTCCCATGGCCGCTTGCAGGCAGCCAAAGAAGCCCTAGGAAAGCTCCAGCCCAGTGGGGAGCAGACGGGAGCGGGAGCGTGCTGGCTCAGGGACCGCAGGCTCAGCCCCCCAGCATGCTCCAGTTTCCCTCCCGCAACGAGAAGCATGACGGGGAGGGAACAGCCCATTCGAGCCCACAGCATCATCCAAAGGCAACGCACCTGCCTGTGGGGACCTGGTGACAGGCAGGCTGCCCCAAAGCCTCAAGGGGACACTGCTGCACCCGGCTGTCCCTCCCTGCCACCTCCTCTCGCCTGCACACCTGCCCTGGGGCAGCCCCAGGGGACAAGGCCATCACTTACCTTCTTGTGTTTTTTTGCCATCCACTTGTCCCAGTTGTTGAGCATATCCAGCCACTTGGATTCCCGCTGCCGTAGCACCTCCAAGGGCACCTCCTCCAGCCTGCGGGACAGGGGGGAAGAGGCCGGTCAGCATGGCTGCAAGCCCTCCTTGCGTGGCAGAGCCCCCCGCATCCCCTCCAGCACCCTGGGTGCCCCCCACGGCCGGCTGGCAGCCCTCCCCCAGGCGCAGAGCCTGGCCGGGACACACTCGAGAGCGCCGGTGTTTCGGCAGCTGCTAAGCACTGCCAGCAGCGCTCACCACCTGCGAAATCACCACGCCAGCACAGCCCTAACTCCCCCAGCAGTTCAAAACCTCTCGGGAGCAGCCTGCGCCGCACCCACCATGTGCCTGAGCATCCCCGGGGACCGGTGCCCGGAGAGAAGGGCACGCCAGGATGGCGAGGAACCGGGGAGCGCAGCCAGAACCATTAGCTGCGCTGAGCAAGGTCCGATGCCCCCCTGCGGGGGCTGGCTGCAGACGAAGAAAGCTGGGGCCATAAGCATCACGTCATCGGCACAGCCCCAGTCATGCTCGCACCCCAAAAGCCTGGCGCTGCTCCAGGCCTGGCATCGAGCCCAGCTGAGGGTCCCCCAGGAAGGAGGGGAGTGTTTTCCAGCAACAGCTCAGCCTAGCCAGGGAATCCAATTTAACCCTACCAAGGCAGGCAGGGATGCTGCCGTGATGCCAAAGCTGGTGAGGGGGAAGCTGCTGTCGCAGCCTCCAACCCCCCCGGGCACCCTCTGCCTTTCATCTGGGGGAGCCGGGGCGACAGACAGCTCGGCCAGGCCCTGGGTGTGTGCATCCCGGGGAGAGGGGGAGATCCTTCAAGCCATCGGTGGAGATGGGCCAACTTCGGCAGACCCGATGCCTTCCCGGGCTCAGCTCCGCACTGCTCCGCGGCTGTGCTGATCCCGCTTTCTGACCACTTTCCGCAGACAGTGGTCAAGGCACCGAGCATCCCCCAGGGACATGGGGAGCACCCAGCCCTGCTGCAGGACACACGGAACCTGCTTTCTCCCAGACCTCTCCACATTAGGAGCCGGAAAGCAAGCGGCACGGAGAGCCCAGGGCCGCATCCAGCTGGCAGCGCTGCCCTGCTCCTTACCCAGCCCTTCCCTGCTGGGTCCCACTCACCGCAGCAGGTCAGACCAGGCCAAGCGGAATTGTTTCGGAGAGCAAACCCCCTCCGAAGGGATCCACTTTGCTTGGCGTGGCCACCTCAGCTCCCCAGTGCGGGCTGGGCACAGCCAGCAGCTCCCCGGCCGGCAGCGCAGCCCAGCACGGGGTTGGAGGGAGCGCTGGCCCCGAGCCGGGGAGCCTGGGCTGCCAGAGGAGCTGGGGCTCTCTGAGGCGTGGGAAGCTCGGGAGCACTGGACGCTGGATACAGGAGCTGGCCATGGGCCCGCTGGAGCCTGGCCAGCCCAGACTGGAAGCTGTTACCAGCTGATGGCTGCTTTGCAGCGGGCACAGAGCGAGGACCGGAGGCATTTCAGATGGCCGAGGCGGGGAGGACGGGGTGGGGGCACCCCAGGCTGGGAGGCAGCGAGGTGCCCTATGCAGGGAAAGTGCTCCTCCGCACCCGTGCTGCAGGTGACAGCTCCACAGCTCGGTCCTTCCCGGTGCCCCCAGACCTTCCACAGGTGCTGGGACACCCTGCTTGCCCTCCCTGTGCTTCCCCAAACCCCTTCCAGCTAGAGGGACCCCAATTCCGCCAGCCCCAGAGGGAGGCCACGCACTTCTGTTTATCCACTTCTGGGAGAGACAGGAAGCTGATAAAAGCCCCGGAGGAGGGCAGGATTGGGCCCCGCCTCACCTACAGGGCATGGGAGGAAGGCTCAGTCCCCAGGGACCGCAGTCCCACACTGTTGGCACCGCCACGAGCAGCCACTCATCTCCAGCACCAGGAGCTCTGGCTGCGGCAGGC